AGCTGAGTTACAACAGATATATGTTTGCAGGTGTCCCACTCAGATATGCTGCACTCAGCTTCCTCGGAGTCGAACATTTTTAAGTGAGCTTTCAAGACATTTCTAAGATGTGACATGTCATGATAGTCTAAAATCAAAAACCTGTCCCTTGTATCACTGTCTCTCTTCCACCTTCCAAACCCTCCTTGGCAAAGTGTGTGCTGACACCTCTTGATAGCTGCAGGTAGGAAAACAAAAAGGCACACCTTGTCTTAGTAATGCAATGAGTCCGCACCCTGCAAGCAGCTGGGAGTTTCTGCCTCGAAACTCAGGCTTTGTGCTCTGCCCTCATGGTCCCAAAGGCACCGCATTCAGATAAAAGAGAATGTCTGAGAGGACTTTTTACACATTCTGCTTCGTCTTCATAAAGGGGGCTGGCACATTAAAGATTATCTGGGTGACTTCTACCAACCTGCAGCAATGACAGAAATCAATTTAAAGAAAAATGGATGGCAGAGATGTGGAGGGGTCCAAGTTAACACATATCTTATCAGAAATCCTTCACATGCACAGTCTTTAGGCGACCGTAAATCAGCTTGAAACTGTTTCACTGTGGTTAGAGTACAAAAGGGTAGAACATATGGAGTGCAGAGTCTGTTTACACATGAAAGAGAGTTACTATATGAAAGCTTTTAGAGGGTAAACATTGCATCAACAGACGAAGAGGTCAACACAAGAGAGCATGCAAACTTGTTACAAATTCCAACTTGTGACAACTTTTTCTTATCATAAAAGAAAGCTACATCAATCAACAATCAATTAATCTGTGAAGTCAAAAATCACAGCGATAAACTCACCCAGTGCTCAGGACGGATGGGAAAAAAAGTTGTGCGGTGGATCCTCAGTGAGGGGCCAAGCTGTGTGAGTGTGTATGTGAGAGTGTGTGTGTGTGTGAGTGAATCCCAGAAGAGGACCAAGTTCATAGTTTCCCCCGCTATCTTCCCAGGCAGCTCTGTCACTGAGTGAATACAGCTCGACGAGGAAACTCACAGAGCGCTACAAGACTCCTCCTTCACACCCCCCACACCCCACACACACACACACACACACACACACACACACATTCAGAGGTTTACAGCAAACAACTCTACAGCAGAGAGGATCTGCACTTAAGACTTTAAAAGCTACAAATCTAAACTGCAGGCCGCGAAACATTTCATCTTGTGACTGTTGAAATGTTAAGTTGAGCATAAATATAAAAAGTTAAGAGTAGGACATTTGTAATTAAGTAGATGCACAGTACCTGCAGGTAAAACAATATTGATGTGCTCTCCTGCTTCCTTTAAATTCTTGTTTTAATTTGTTCTTAAACTAGATCATGAATCGACTTTACTGCTGCGGGCGTTTTTGCAGGAATCAGAGCACCAGTAGAGGACGGACCCGCTTATGTAACTACTGCCAGCATTCTGTGTGCACTCCGGCATCAGTCGCTTACCCTGATCAATGATTAACAAACAGCACAGTACAGCAGCCCCGAGCGCCAACACCAGCTCTCTCATGTGCCTAATAAAATCTAAATGAAGCTCAAAGGCTGTAATGTTTTATTTCCAACCACCGTCCCATCAACTCCTCCTCATCCTCAGGCCGTCTTCTTGTGCAAATATTTGAGAAATTAAAACGAGATAAGTGAGAGAAAAGAGTCGTTAAACAGAACGGGTTGGCACTCAAATGTGTATCAGGTGAAATCTACAAACAACCTGACATTGAATCCAAATGACCTCATGTGAAAATGAAACCAAGATCCTATCAAACGGGTAGTTACCTTTTGCAGAAGTCACCAAAGAGAACTGCGACCAAAGCTCCACCATGTTCTGTTCATAAGCCGAGCTGCACCGAGCAGTCAGGCTCAGAGGTGTTCACTCCTCGGAGTTAATGCTGATCTACAGTTTTATATTCAACTTCGAGCGGTCACATGGCCACAAAAAATAACTAACACCCAAGGCAACAGAGGAAATCTTTTTTTAGTTTCAGCTGTCATGTGGCATTCATAGTTATTGGTGTGTGTGGGTTTTGGGTGTACATGTTCACACACACACACGGTGCACACATTGTCAAAAACCTTCAAGCTCACTGAGTGTCAATATGTCACAGCAGAGCAGTAAAGGAAGGAATGACGGGCATTATCCTTCTCTCATAGTGAACCTGTTTGACCAGCAGAAATTCCACTCACTGCATTCCTTTTCAAATTACCCTCACCTACAGCTGAGCAGAGCAGCGTGCACAGCTACAGTGATGATCACATTTTTGGAGAAATATTTGCAAAGATCTTTGTTTAAGAGCTAAAGATAAATGCTGCGTGTGAAACCACTACTAAGTGAGCAGAATTTGCCAAAACTGCACTCTCATGCTCCTCTCTGACTGGTGCAGACATGAGTTGATGCAGTCTGCAGCCTTATTGTTGGCCCGGTCTCACTGCAGTCTCAGACCAGCAGGACTCACTGGTGTCCTTAGAGATGCTGGATGGGACATTTGACCACAGGGGCTGCTCAGAACAGAAGAAATACAGGAAATGTGTTGACATGCAGTTAAGCTGTTATCTGATAATATATCTGCTAGGGCTGGGAAATTAATAGAAAATTAATCGAAACCGACATTCAGAACCTCTAACCGACGTAATTTTTCCCATGCCGATTATGTCAATTACTTTCAGGGCAGAGTCACCTGACGACACGTCCAAGCCGCGACATGGAAGCAATGACCATTGTTTGGACACATTTTGTCTTTAGGGAAGACGACACAGAACAAAAACTAAATCACACTGCGGAAAAACTGTGAGCAAGAAATGCAAGTTATTTACTTTCTACTGTTTCAGAGAAGTTACATTCTTACTTTAAAACTAAAAGGTGTTGTTTTCATTTCAAGAGATGCTTTGATTTCAGTTCAAAATATTCAATAAATAACCACAGAATAGTTAATCAGATATGAACTCTTTCATTAGAAAAACATATTCCAGCTTTAATAGTTGAGCATATTTACAGTAGAGACCATTTGAGTGAACTATGAGGGCAAAAAACAAAAACAAAATAATCGTTTATTAATCATAATGAAGGTCAAATTAATTAAATTAAATTAAATGAATCATTATATTGATTTGAGGTCATATTGCCAAGCCCTAATCTCTGCCTTCAATTTCTTTGTGATACTTGATGCTGAATGAGTTTAAGCTCATCATAAACCAACTGTGTAGCTTCTTTTGACCTTGTGAGTTTAAGTCATGGTTTGCATCCATTTGTTCCAGACTAGACGACTAACACTAACGTCATCTCTGTCGTCATGGCACCAGAAGTCTTAGTCTGTCTCCTCAACTCTCTCGATCTCTCTCAGCTCTCAGAGCATCTCAATCAAGACACCTGATTGGTCAGTAGGTGGAGCTTTATGCCGGTTGATCTCTTTTCAAACATGAATATCTCCGGAGCAGGTTAGGTGTCCAGCATAATTGACCATCCTGATATAGTCCAGTAAGAAGTGACCCTTCATAGTAGTGAAAACTCAGAGTTAACCCTGCTGTGACCTCGATGAACAAAAATCCTGCTTCATAGTCCAGACCACCCGCTGACAAGTACACAAAACAGATCACCGTGAAATCCTTACATTTAAATGCATCTCTGACACTGAAACAGTGTGAAAAAACACAGAGAGAGTGAAGGTAACAGCTGCTTCACACCTTTGTGACACACAAGCAACACAATCCACAAACACGCGCACACACACACACACACACATGCACACACACACACACGAAACCTAATTTCTAACCATTTCTGCTGCCCTACATCCCTCGGTGAGATTAGGGAGAGTGTACTTTCAGTCTGGTACAGGAAGCGCTCATTGTGTCCATCAAGCTGAAAGAGACAATGTGTGTGTGTGTGTGTGTGTGTGTGTGTGTGTGTGTGTGTGTGTTTGACAGACAGGGTGACAGATAACCGTGAGGCATATGGGATAATCTGTTTCGGTTAAACTACCCAGACTTTCTTCAGATTAACTCTCCCTCATCCCCTAATCCAGGGGACAGGGTGAGATTATAACCCCGGTCTGCTCTAATCCAGGAGGAGGGAGGAAAAGTATGCCCGGGGGATGTAAAAGATGGAGTGTGAGGAGGTGAAAGAGAGATGGCAAACTGCAGAGACATGGAGGTGTTATTCTGCAGGATTCAGGCGATTGAGGTAAAAGTGAAAGGTGAGCAGAAAGCTTCAACTGCCCTGGAAAAATATGATGAAAGAGACGGAAGGAAGGGGAAGTGACGGCATGATGACATCAAGGAGAAATGAGAAGACGGACACATGAAAAGCCGGTTCAGAGGAAGGTGAAAGGATGGAGGGATTTATAGGGCGCAGAATGAGATGGTACACCTGAAAAGGAGAGACAGTGAAAAATAGGCGGACACTCAGGAGGGGGCTGGAGGAAGGCAACCATTCATCACACAGACACACAGAAACTAGAGACTACTTTGATATAAAAATAGAGCAGAGAGCAGCAGCGTCTTTCACACCCCAAGCTGCAGGAAGAAGCTGTTCATAATGCCCTGTACAGCATCACCCTGCATCCGCTCTCTGAAAACCAGCTCGTCTTAAACTTCCCTTTACTGCAGCACAAGGAGAAGAAGATCTCCAAAGATGGAAAGGCTTGAAACTGTCATCGTAAGATTTATTTCAAATGCAGCCCTCCTGCTGTGCATCAGAGGTGGTCACTGTCAAGTAACAAAGCTTTGCATGTTAATTTGGCTTGTGGCAGCGCTGCCTCGCACACACATCACAAGATGAAGACCGAGCAGATAAAAAAAGGACCTTGAGTGAGTCAACCCCCGCGTGAAAACTGACAGACAGGAAACCACCATGAGTGAGAAACTGGCTCACATCTATGCACAAGATGTCTGTGAATAGCCACGCACTTCATAATCGAACACACATTTATGCAAAAAAAGCTGCATAAAAGAGAAAGAGCTTTAAGGTGACGCTGTGTACCTCTGGAGTGTTCGATCTTCACCGCCACGCAGGCCTCCTCATCGGGACTCTTGGACTGCAAACAGCCAGCTCGACCTTTCTTCTCTGCAGAGAAACAAAACACAAAAGTCACTGTAGGAGGAAGCCGACACACTTTATGTAGAGAACAAGAAAACCAGAGAGCAGGAGGATGTTTTAATACTCCACCTGCATCTGATTAAAGAGCTTTTTCAGGAAACATCGATGGTGATATTTGAGAGGAGCACAGAGACTCAGAGCGAGAAAATGAGAATGAGGAATAAGTGAAGAAAAGCAGGAGGAAACATCAAACTGATTTTACAGTTTCTGTTTTCCAACATGCTCGTCTGGGCAGAGACAGTAAGCTGGACATGTGCATCGAGCTGCAGATATTCAAGTGTGATGAAGCTGCATTAATCAAGATGAGAGCAGACTTTTTGTGTTTGTTTTGAGAGTGAAAAGGGAAAATACCGCCCCTCAGAGAGAGAAACCCCTAATTAGTCCGTCTGTGATATGTAGGGCATCATGATCTGTGGGGAGAGCTCACACTCTTTCAACACAGCCGTTTAATATGCACATAAAAGATGAAAGAGAAAATAGAAACTGTCGTAAAAACAATGATGGGTCCTCATGAGTATTAGACGGCCTCCTGCAAACACACACACACACACACACACACACACACACACACACACACACACACACACACACACACACACACATGCTGTGTCTGATGTAATGTGAAGCATCAAAGCTGCAGCTGATCAGAGCAGTTGTTGTCGACACCCAGCAGTGTGTGCATGTGACAAATTCAACGATATCACAACTTTAGAAAACGACTAATTAAAGCTGAGCCGACGACAATCGACATTTCTCACTACAGAGATAATAAAAATGACACGAAACAATCATGACAGTGAGGACCAGGCGATTTTTGACTTTGCTGTTGATGTAACATAATCACAGATACAGAAGATCATCATCAGCGTATCGCATTAACTGTGGAATAAATGCTTTGAATCTGAGCATTTATTCTCATTTCAAGTCACATTTCTGGTAATCCTTTTTAAATGGCGGCTTTCATGACAGCCAACATTGCTGTGGAAACACTCGATGTTACGTCAAAGACCGCTGCATAAGAAAGTGTGAGCTGCTGCTGAAAGCTGCCGTACTGTTGCTGTAAGTGCTACTGCTATGAAAATGTCATGTCAATTATACTCTGATACATTAGCTCGTCTGTAAAAACATATTCTCTTCCTCAGGTCGGTTTTGCACGTTCGTGTTCACTAAGGTCAACCAGGAGCTCCGTTACATGGGAAGGGGGGGTCACTCCCATGATTCCCCGCCAGCCGCAAAGTCATCTTTTGTTGTTGTATTGATAGAGAGCCCCCTGGTGGCAGAAACTACATACTGTGCTTTTAAGACAGCACGCCAACCTGCTGCACAGCTGGTACGCTATCCAGCATCATTTGTCTTTCTTGGACAGATGTTGAGGTTTTTTTGTGTCTTGCTGTTTTGTCTCTCTATATTTAATCCACTAACTAATAATTTTCTCAATGCATAGGGGCCTCTAATTGAGAGCTGCCGTTATTTGTAAGTATGCAGCTACAGGCTGGTATAAGGGACAGGGGCCGCAAAATTGGGATGGGCTTTTATTTGAAGTTTTAGGGTATGTCTTTAAGTGAAAGCCCCATCTGTCATGTTTCACATTTTCCACTTATGCTACAGACTAAGTTTTGCAGTTAGTTTAAAGTAACAGTCAGGATGTATCAACAAAGAAGTGCTGAAGTGATCATGGCACGAGGTAAACGCCACGTAAGAGAACAGTGGGCAAACTCAGTGGTAGGAGGGTGTATGTGTGTGTGTGTGTGTGTGTGTGTGTGTGTGTGTGTGTGTGTGTGTGTGTGTGTGTGTGTGAAGGAGGGGGGTATTATTATATCCTGGCTCAGGGATTAAAGGAGGGCTTTCTCCACCTGCCATCTGGACTCCTCATGACGGGCCTGCCTGCTGCTTACACCCACACCCCCCCCCCCCACACACACACACACACACACACACACACACACACACACACACACACACACACACACACACACACACACACACACACACACACACAAACATTTTACTGTCAAGATCTGTATATCTACAGTTCATAAAGAGAACCCCAATCTGTTATATAAGTTCCCTATTCAGAGTACATAACACAAGCAGCTTAACAAAAGCATCACCTAAATATCACTTCTCTACAGAGACGACCCACCCACTCAACTGTGACCCCCCCACCCCCCACGTGACCAGAGTCATCAGACGCCTATTGTTTCCTGAAGTGGGGATTGTGTTACTATGTCAGCACTGCTTACACAAACGCACACTGAACAATAACAAAATGTCACACACACTTAGCCAGAACACAAGTGAGGACATCTCAGACGGATATAAAGGCCAGATAAACGGGCTTCTGGGATGTGTGTGTGTGTGTGTGTGTGTGTGTGTGTGTGTTTACTTCACTTATGATATATGACAGGGGGGGTTCAGCTTCTGGCCTGACCCTTCACTTCCTATTCCTGACTGTCAACTTCTTGTTTTCATATTCTCAAATCTGAAGGTCTCAACTTGAGAAAACACACAGAGACTCTCGGACAAGAGAACAAAAGAGAAACTGTATAAAAAAACCACACTGACATATAAACACACACAGTGCAGTGGACACGGGTTATTGTTCGGGCAGGATTTTGTCAAGTCAAACACAGTTCATTAAAAGGTCACAATACTGACACTGAAACTGCTTTAATACTTTTAAATCTTATGCTAAACAATTTGCACATATTAGTTTATTCCATTTAAATCCCCTGACAGGAGGAGGACTGCTGTTTACTCGAGTTCTACTTCTTTATTGGTATTTTGATTCATGCACAGAACTCCTGAAAAGGGCCTGAAACATTGAGCGTGAGCAAATTGCCAAATTATTCCCCCCGACTTTAACCGGTCTTTTCCTGCCAGCCTCCTCGTACAATTCCTGCATGAACACTTACGTGACATCCAAATAATCAGTGAGAATGTTCTTCTTCTCTCTAGTCAGCTTTGAGACACAGGTGCTGACAGGAAGTGACCAGAGGCTAAGCACAACACTGGGGGCAGTTCTTGAGAGCTCTAATTAGTATAGAAACCATCTTAAAAGATGTCGTTATCAACAAAACCATCGCCATTACCATCATCATCATCATCAATAATATTGAGACCATCGTCGAAACTCCAACAGGAGAAGGTAAACACCTGCCTTGTGTCATTCTTTGTGCTCAGTCTGTTCTTGTTAACATCATGATCTAAACTCACAACAACACAGATGGCAAACTGCAGCAAATCCAGCAATGATGGCAGTCAAAGAAAATAAAAACGTCATTAAGCAGTCACATTGAACGCAATGCAATCAGCTCCTGAATGAACGACATCGTTTCTCCTGACGGCGGTAGGAAACCGCGGCAGTTCTGAGAACGTTTTAATGACACTGTAAATGAACGGTTTGAGTCTTCTTTATGTAAAACAGGAACTGATTGAGAGGACAGAGGTGTTTTTTTTCCATGACAGTTAAAGGACATTAAATGAGCTGTGACATTTATCAAACCATCCCATGTGGTGTCAACAAACCTCTTATCACACACATCAGTCTCTCAGCTGTCTACGCTGAGTTATGACCCGAGTCTGGCCTTCACTCAACAAACACAGTAGAGAATCTCGTCTCTTCACTCTGCACTGCTCTCCTGCTTTGAGATGAACATCAGAAACATATGGAGCGAGGCCGTTTCATGCGTTACAGATGCACCGTGTTTATTAAAAGCAGACACTTTCAAACACAGGAATAGAAGATTACTGCACAGTGAAGTATTTACCTTCAACAGGTGCAGGGAGTCAGAAACAATGATGAAGAATCTGTCACACACCCACCATGACCATGACATGCTAAATACACGAGAAAGAGTTGTCACCACATCACTTTTTAAACTTTGACATGATTCAAAGATTTCAACAACCGGTTTCAGTACGACAGAAAGAAAAACACAGGTTTAGGGTATTAAATATTCAGTAATTCATTCTTTTAAATTTCATTAAAATTGCATTCAAACTCCTGCCAATGGGTACAGAAACGGTACCTGCCGCTGCAGCTTTCGGTTAAACATAACACCGAAGATCTGCAGCTTCAGTCGAATATTAAAGTATTATGTAAAGTTGGGGCGCTGGTGGCACAGTGGTTAATGCGCATGCCCCATGTATGGAGGCTTTAGTCCTCCAAGCGGGCGGCCCAGGTTCAAATCCGACCTTCGCTCCTTTCCTGCACGTCATTTGCCACTCTCTCTGATTACTGACTCTATCTACGGCAAAATAAACACAGAAAATGCTCAAAAATAAACCTTAAAAAAAGTATTGCTATTTCTGACAAGAAACAATCCAGAAAGATGTTCAACAACAAAAGGTTGTCAACAAGTCCAGTAGGAGTAGATTTTGAAAATGATATGGAACCTGAGTCTGGTCAGGTGTTCCACCCGGAAGTGGAGACAGTTTTTTGACTGCTAAGCTGTTACTGCATGAGCTACAAGCAGATGTTTTTATTCATGGAAATATGGAAATTCAATGAATGGTGTGTTCAACAAGGCAAGGTAACAAGGTAAACTTTAGCACGTCCATCAGTTAAGCAGCGGCTCGGTGGCTAAAAACGGAGGCTTGGCCTCTACTAAACCTCTGAAAACACCTCGACAAGAAATGTACTTATCATGGTCAAAAACAACGAACAAAAAAACTGCAATTACATATTGAGCAATAAAGCTCTGAAAAAATGTTTAGGTGCAAATAACAAATCTGAAAAAAATCCATGTGCAATAACACACATGAACATTTGTGTTTCCCGTTTCAAAGCCTAAAACAGGGTCTCCTTTTATATTTATACTTGTAGAAAGCATGTTATATTTTATTTATTTCATTTCATACATATTTCAAGTGTAAATTGTACATTTTGTATTTCTTTGGAGTAACATATTTATTTAGTTTGCTGCTTTTCTATCACAACACAAATTTCTGTTCTGCTTTGTTCC